ATATATTTCTAATAAATTATAATAAAATGAAAAATTTCCTCAGGGATAACTGATTGGCAGAATCATTTAGTAAATCCACGGATCCAAATTCAATACACTGAATATTCACATACATTTGTACATCATATACAACCATATATATATATTTTTTTTTTTTTTCAAATGATAATGCAACAAACATTTGAAATAAACTTTGAAAGAAACAATATACAATCTGATTTTAAAATTAGAAGAAGAATTAAAGATTAAAACATAAAAAAAATAAAGATTAAAAACCCGTGTTTAATATTAGAAGAGAAGGAATAGTTTAAACATATTGAACTTTTTATCTTCTTTTTGTCTTTTAATTAAGATTTAGATATGTAAATAATATATAAAATAAAGAGTGAATATTTTACTATTCTATGTTCGATTTTTAACTGTAAAAAGCCAAAAATTATATTCATAGTTATCATTTTTCGCAAAAGAGAAAAAATACTTCATTTTTCATTTTGTGAATTATGATACATTCATGTAAGACAAATAGAAATAAATAGCATAAATCTACGTAATCTTTTATGTGATATGAATAAGATTAAGAAAATCTTTTATTTTTTGTGTTTGACATAGAGTAGAATAATAAAATATTTTTTTATTTATATATATTACTTAATTATTAAATGATGCTACATATAAGAACAATTTATTATTATTGATACCTAAGATAATGTCTTGATAGATAAGTGTTTTGTTATTCCTGTGATGTCCGTGAATAAAAACAGTAGTTTCAGTCTTATCTTTTTTCATCTGATTATATGTGTTTTGTATGCAATCCGTATCTTCTATAGTACATTGAATTGATCTAGTCGGGTCATTGCTAAAATATCATGTAAATCAAATGAAATATTTTTATTGTTTAGTATTACAAAATATAAAAAAAGAATAGTAAATTAAATTCTGGATAGAAATAATTTAACTCATTTTTTATAAATTGTGTCGTTTTCATTCTGAAAATTGTTCACTGTATACGGACATTTTCACTAGATATTCATTTCGAAAAACATATATATAACATAATATTAAATCTCTTAAAAATATAAGCCTACTTATATATACTTTTAATAATCGATTCTTAATATAAAAAAAATCATAAATACCAGTCAGGAAAACTCAAAAGAATTATTTTCGGATTGATTTTGTCATCTGCAAAATTATTGAATTTAAATAAAAGAAATTGCGCTAAGAAGAGTTACGAGCCAAAACAAAACGTTTTGGCTCGTAGTCCTTCTTAGCACAACTTCTTTTATTTGAATTATTTGAGCCACATTTTATTATGTATTATTGAGTTTATTTTACTATTCTATATATCTCTAACACATTTCTAATATTTGTGCAAAACATTAATATTATTCATAATTTGTAAATTTCCGAATATTTATTATTCATTATAATTGTTTACAATTTTTTTTCAATAAATAATGCCAAAATATAATATCTTTAATCATGCAGATTTTTACAAAGTCTCTTCGTGATCTTATTGGAATAATGTTAATTAATAGAAAACATATAAGCGCGTTCATACTATTTATAATACCGATCACGCTTAATTCGAATATTATAGAATGTTATAGAACTAATTTACGATAATATGTTTAAAATAGCAAGAAATGATCATGAAACTAAGTGGTATTGTCAATTAATATCAAGTAATCTCTTTACTTATCACTAATGATGCGAAGCAAAACCAAATGATGAAGAAAACCAAAAAATAGGTATGTATGGATGTCCTTCGAGTCATTTTACAATCTTATTCGTAGCAGTCGATTCAACAGCCATCGACAAACTGAATAAATTTAACGACTTTTGGATCATTATATTCAAGTGTACATATAGATATATGCGATTGCCAGAAAAAATATATTTGTTTGCCCAAGATTATGAAGTATTAACATAAGCTTTTTTTCTGTGCTCTTGAGAGATAAGAGGCAATGTAAGTAAACGTATATGCAAAGTGCTTAAGAAATTGATGATAACTTTTACTTGATTCCACTTCCCAAGGTCAAACCAATGACACCATCTTATGTCTTCCTTCAAACCATACAATTTTTGTATGAAATATTTTTCTCTAAAAATGCTTTGTTTCCGAGATATAGATCTGTTACATTTTAACTAACTTACGCTATATTTGAATATGTGTGCGTATTATGATGTGTTACCTCTGTACGACATATTATATTATACAATCACACGACTCCGTCACGTCGTGTGATTGTATAATAATTTCAACACTCATGTGTCATTATCCATTTAAATAAATAGTATTGCGATGTATTATGAATTATCTTTTGTAATAATTGCTTAGGCCAAAAATAATACAAGCAGTTTTAATTTGTCGCAACTACGGATTATTCATGATACTTATTTTGCTCTTATCTAATAGATGAAGACATCCTTTAATTGATTGGAAGACAGCAGATGCCGGTTCTGCGAGGAAATTGAATTGAATTATTAAGTCATGTTAAATTAAAAGAAAGAAGTAGAAACAAAAAGTCATTCTCACTTTTTCATGTCTACATGCGGTCCGAAGTAAATCTGGTCATTTTCTTGGCAGTATTTGTAACGAAAGAACAACATGCAATCCAATTTCCATATTGAGGTTAATCTTTCAAATCAATATCAAATACTACATGTCTTACTCGAGAAAAATATAATTGTCTCAAGGTACAACATAATAGTTTTGATTGCTCAAAGATTTGCAAATATTAGATAGAAATTCAATAATTCTTATAGAGATAATATAAAACTTAATATTTAACATACTAAATATACAATACTTTTATTAGGCAGCTGATCTTTTTTCTGTCTTTTTTTTTCTTATTTCATTTGCAATTTATTTAATAATTTATATTTAAAAATTTATTTGCTATCCTCTTTTTATTAGTTACGTTAAAACCGGATGGTTTATAGATTGATACAATCTATACTTTTTAATATTAGTAAATTATTATTAAATTGACAAAATATGATTGATAGAGAAAAGCCCCCTATTATGAAATAGGGTGCCTAATATGAGATAGTGGCGTTTCTGCTAAACTAATAAACGTTATCTATTGATTCCACCACAAATTTAATGCTCTGGATTGAAAACGGTTTAGTAGAAAGTTCATTATTAAATCATGCCTGTAGTCATTGTAAAAAAAATAAAATTTGAATTAAATTTTATATAACATTGTCTTACAGCTTATTAAATTCCCTTCCAAATGATTATTATTTTTTTTTAATTCTGCCCATAGACTTCTAGCATTTACCTAAAATGAACTCGGTATCTCATAATAGGAGCCTTTTCTCTATATACAAATAGAAATGACAAAATACAATGATTTATATCAATTATAGGTATCGATGCACTAATAATAATAGGTTATTTTAATGGATCTATACATTTTGATAAAAGCATTATTGGTCATTTTCATATTTGTTGCAATACTTATCTGTTTGCGATTAATTTATTTTTTAATCAATTGTTTTATTCGTATACACGCGACAATTTTTTTTTTATTATTTATTACATTAATTCTTTTAATTCTTTGTGTGTTAAATTTATAAAAATTGGGAGAGAAATCAAAGTTTTCGTATTTTTATTTTCTACTTGCAAGAAATATTAAATATCAAAAGAAGAGATTATACTTACAAAATTTCCTGATAATAACACGATTATATTAAGAATTATTTTTCGCATTTTTTGCATCAAGCTATTTTCTGCTATTTTTATATTCTATCTTCAAGAACAATTCACGTTTTCGAGAATTTTATGTGTCCTAATAAACAATTGTTGGTTATTCCTACACAGTGTATAAGATTTGCAATTTATTACAAATATTGGCGGTGATATATTATAAAAATTAACAATATTTTATTTGTGACACACAATAATTGTTTTTACTTGTGTTTTAGTAATTTAGTAGAATTACATCACACAGAACGGAGAATTTCTAGTAATTTACTAAAACGCAAGCAATCCAGCAGGAAAACAAGCATCCTGTGCCGTAGACTTTACATTATTATTGTATTTTGCGAGTACATTAAATTATTATGTATTTTGCAGTATGTTAAATTTATAAGAAAAGATATAGTAGTTAAAATTATTGTCGTGTTTTTATTCTGTTTGCAAAAAAAAAATGTAATAAAAAGTGTAGTTACTTACAAAATTTTCCAATGTATAATAGATCAATTATTTCGCAATTCTTGCATGTACTATATTTGTGTATTCTATCTTTAAAAACATGACTGTCCGAAAATGTTATGCAGTGCAAGCTAATAATTAATTGAATGAGGCAATTTGCTACTTTAAGCAATCGACTTTTTAATACGATCTCTCATATTGACGCCTTGAGTACGTCTCATAAAAGTACATCCTGCCGTAAAACTCTTTAAGACTTACAATTAGCTAATGCGTTTTCAGACTTTCTGAGAAGATTCCCTTCTCCGGAGACACGAGAAACGCCGTCCATTACGGCTGCGAATTTAATTTTAACCAGTTACGGTTTGTCAGCAAAAATATGCTAAAAATAAATCAACAGTGTTGGTTAAAGTAATTCCATTTACGATTACTTTAGATTATCAGTAAACTGAATTATGCTTGCAAAATATAAGTACTTACAAATGTGATAAGAATAGATTTTTGTTTTGTCAGAATAATTTTCATAACAGTTTTCATAAATAGTTTTTGTGTTATGTACATTTTAAATAATACTAAATAGTGCAGATGATTGTTTTATCATCTTAAAAAATCGTCGGAAATTTCTGTATATACATACAAGTATAATATAGAAGAAAGGGAGGTAAAAATGATGAAGCAGTTAAGATGACAAATTGCTAATTTTTTCAAGCTAATAACAGATGAGCCGATACTGAATTCATACAAGGCTTTAGATAATAACAAATCATCATTTGTAGTTTAATTTCAATATGGCCACAGGAGTGGATAATATAAAAAGAAATATGTTTTTGATGCGCTCATATGTAACTATTTTATGTTAATTTGTAAGGAATAACACAATTGTATTATAGTAAATACTTTTTATTAAATAAATAATTGCAGATAAGATAATTTTCAGTAGACAAGATGAAATATTCGTGCATGCAGGTTATATTTATTAATATGAATTGTAAATAAGTACTGCAAATAAATTATTTAGTATCGGTACCTGTATAAATATTAGGATAAATTTCAAAATGAAGTTAAAGAAGAACACGAACATTTTTTAAAAAGAAAAAATATAATATATTATAATATATATAATATATTAAACAAATATAATTTTGTAAAAATACGAAGATAATTTTGTACATTAATCATGAGAATGTCAGATAATCATTACAAGAATATTTAACGAAGAAGATAAAGTGACAGATTGCCAAATTGCGAATGAATATGCTGATCCATTTGTCAAGATGTGCTGATAGTAAGAAATGTACAGGGGAATTTTTTGTATTCCGTCGCTTTTCTTATGTCTACGATGTAAAATTTTAAAGCTTTTGCCTTATAGAAGATGTGTGTGCTTTGGTTACCAATCTCATGCGAAACCCCTAGAGGTATGAGTAAGAAAATATCTTTTACACAATGAAAGTTCTTGAGATATTTCATTAGTTTAAAAAATATGTCAGAGTTAGACATCTGCAAGAACTGTTAAAAAATTTATCCGTGTGTCTAAGAGAGAGATATATTAAGATTCTCATACTCTATTTAAATAAACTCAAAGAGATGTCTGTTGCGAATCTGAATAAATTCTGGAATTTGATTACATAAGAAACATGAAACTTTTATAATTAGTTAATAAAAAATTTAATAACGACAAAATAAATAAATGTAGCTATTTAAAATATGTACGTGAGTTACAGAAAAATAAAAATTTTGAGAATATAAAAAAGTAGTTTAGTTTGTTTCATTTTATTTAAATCAAGCTTAAATTATTATCATTTAACAAGATAAAGAGTATTTATAGTAAAAAAGATTTTCTAAATAGGTTTTTAACGAAAATTTGACTTTTATAATATAATAATTTTTCTAGCTTCTTAAAATTGGTTATCATAGTTCTAATTATGGTTAATTTTCTATGAGTAATACTGGGCAATTACGAGATTGTTAATAGTAGTGCAAATCTTTAAATTTGCTTTCTAATAAAATCATCGCGATGCGACGAGCAAACTTCATTTGCTACACGAGATTTTCTCTAATCTTCTTTTAAGCTTGACTGACCATAATCCACCAGGGATTTATCGCGTCCGTTGCAAAAAGTCAAATTCTTCCGTTTTTAAAGAATAGTCATTGCGTAATATTGCAGCTAAGGATACTTACCCTTTTCCTTTGTTCTCTCTAGGAAATTACAGAGTTTTTTCGTTTGTCAAATTTGCATGAAGTCGAACAGTATCTATATATTTCTTTTTTGCTATAGTATCTTTGTTTATCCAATATCTTCAAAATAAGAGTGCAAATTATTTTTATAATTTTTTTCCATAAACTAAGTCTATATAATTATTAATATAAAATTCATAAATAAAGATAAAGATTCATATTTCCTCCTTAAATCCTACTCTTTCTTTATCATACCAACCTGTTAAAGCATATATATTTTAATGATTTATTATTATTTATTTTATATGTATATAAAAAATAAATTTTATAAAATAAATTTATGCAAAGAAACAAAAGGTCACGAATGAGCCGATATCAAAATCAAATTCAATTTGGCAACATTTGAACTTTAAGCACCTATTTTTTGTCTAAACAAAACTCGATTGAACGATTAAAAAGTGATTTAGTGAATGAGTAAAAGACACAATACGGTG